TGGCAATTGGTAATGAGAACTTTATCGAGTATTCATTACTACGTGCAGATTCAATTAATAAGAATTGAACTAAGAGTGCCTGAGTATGGTTGGACGACACAAAAGGTTTTCCACCTTATGAACTTCATTTTAAATGGAGGTAAAGCAAAGAATCACTTAAATGTTTATCTTATTTTATGCTCATGTTTCAATTCATTAATTTTGATTGTAAAGCTACTATGCAGTTCGTGCAGTCATGTTTGGATTTCACAAGCTGGTTTTTCTTTTGCATCCAAGGGTAAGCTCCACTATTCCCGGTAGAAGCTATCTATGATTTAAAAGTAGTTAGTACATTACATGACAACAGTTTCTGCCATTTTATGGTTGAAATTCTCTATGTTCTCTTTTACTTCCTCACAACTCTCACCCTGGTGTAAAGATCTATAAGTTTTAAAAGGTGAAGAATGGTCCCAACGAAAAGGCAGTGTTAGAATTACAAACAGAAGTTTTGTGACAGAAATTTTTGGCATATTTATATAACCTTCACCTTCTTGCTTAAATTTGCTGCTTTGGATCTTCGTCACTTTGCTATTCCTTTTCTTAGTCCAATGGAATGGGCTACATAATAGGGGGTTGATCGATTAAGCTCATATTACTATTTGACTGTTAGGGCCTGCTGAGATTTCGTTGTGCTCCCATCTGTTTGTATTTTATAGGTGGTGGTTATTTCTAGGATATGATTTTTAACACTCTGGTAAACGTCAGCCTTTTAAGTGAGCTACTAATGATATGGCTTTCTGATTTACTTTTACTTTGATCATTACTTCTGTTGAGAGAAATATGTTTCAAATGTTGAAATGATGCGCACAAAAAATACACATCGTACATGAGTTACATTTCCACCATCTTAATGATTTTCCTCTTCAGTTCTATTTGAAGTCTTATGTAAGCTATTCAAATCTCAATTGTTCTTTTAATGAACCAGAACATGACTTGTATTGTATACGCACAATTTTAACACTAAGGCCATGTTTGAGCCACATTTTTACAAAAAAAAATATTTTTAAACAGTAATTTGATATCATTTCAACCACATATTTTTCAATAAAATAATATTACACGCAAATTCAAAATTTTTCTTTATTTTTTAACCACACATTTCTTATCAATACACTATTCAAAAATGCATTCTATGGAAAATAATGTGACTCAAACAAGGGCTAATACTAGTGTTGCAGTTCTGCATTATATTTTTTGAGCACACATTTTAATCAACTCCGGTTTATTTAAAATCAGGTGCTAACTTTGGTACTGTTGGATATTCCTGGACTGCTGTTTTTCTCTACATATACACTTCTTGTCCTTTTTTGGGCTGAGATATATCACCAGGTAAGTAGCTAATCCTTACCCTCATATAAATATCTTGCAAATGAAGTATGAATGCT